TAGGGTTAATAATTGAGCATTAATGCTTGTCTCTCAAATTACTTTAAGATTGAGACTGAGTTGTTTGTGTACTTTACAAGCTTTATGACATAAAATTCACTTGTACTGATTATTAAATGTAAACTTTATTAAGTGTTATATATTTTTAATGTTTGTGTCCATCAGCTGTACATGGAGTCGACGTGGGCGATGCAGGTGTCGTACTACAACATCGGGCGCGCGGTGTGGGAGCCGCTCATAGAGCCCGTCGAAGTGCTCAAGGACTCGCAGTACCGACACGTGCCCTGGGAACTCAAGATGGAGGTAACCAATAACTCAACAAATGTTCACTTAATTATACTTTAATATTACCTTGGTACTAGTAGTTAAGGACGCGGTCTACCGATTTTTTTGGTAGTAGGTTCGAATACTGCTTGACTACAATAGTGAACCATATCCTTATTTAAACTTTTAGCTTGTATGGAAAGATGACGCAGTATTTGAAAGACTAACCGCAACGTGTTATTTTATGCTAGTACGGAGAGTTTTCGAGTGGTCTTTACGGGATTCTTATTGTAGATTTCTGCATTGGCAAAAATGGAAAACAGTAAAAAATATGTTTGTTTTATTTTTTTATAGGTTGTAATGAGGCCACAAGAAGCGCACACAGCAATCGACACGACGGACGAGGCGGCTAACCTGGCGGTGGTGGCGCAGCGGCAAGCCAACAAGACTATCACCATCTCCAGCAGCGAGCCATTGGAGATCACCATCACCAGGACCGGCATGGAGGTAACCTACAGACCGGAATATAGCGACCGAGGGAGAAGATAAATTATTACCATATAAAAAGCAATATTCTAACGCCTTTCATGTTATAGGTGCTGACACAACTCGGTAATTCGTTCGCCGCTGCAGTAGCCACTGAAGCCGACACCACTATAGTCGCCAAGGCCAAAGTTGATGATGTATGTAATTTCTAGATTTTTTAATCACTAGTTTTTGCCTGCGACTCCGTCCGCGTGGAATTACAAAAAAACAAAAGTCAAACTATACGTCTATGTCAAATTTTATCTAGATCCGTTCAGCAATTTAAGCTACAAATTCTAATAAACATCCTTCCATCCATCTAAACTTTGGCGTTTATAATATTAGTAAGATGATAATATCTTTCTGATGATTAAATTTTTCTGTGTTCATTTTTTCTAGATCACTAAAAAGGAATATTTGGGCGCTCCGTACGTTCTGCACAACTGTATCGGCCTAACAGCAAAGCTCTTGCTTCAGAACAACAAAGATTTCTCTGTCTTCCTCACAGATGAACATAAGTCCAGTGATTATAGGTAAAGGCTTGTCATTATATTTATTGTTTATATACGTTTATTGATTTGACATAGACAGAATTCGATACGGTATTATATGTTATTGTTTCAGGGAAGTTGTGCTAGAGCCCGGCGCATGCGTTCCTTTGCAACTGAAACATGGCGGTCTCAATTTGATGAAACTTAACGAACCGCCACCGCCTCTTAAATTAAACGTCAAGGTAATTTTAACTTTTAATAGTGTATTTGTATATGTGTACTCAAAAAATTGGCTAACAAATAAATTAGATTTGCTCCAGGGGTCCGGCCAGCTAAATAACATCTATCTTTTGTCAAATGTTAGTTTTTACATATAAACAAACTAGGTTTCACCAGCGACGTCCGCGTGGAATTTAAAAAATCCAAATTAACCTCTGTGTCCATGACTCCCCTACATCTATGCCAAATTTCATCTGTTCAGCAGTTTAGGTTACAAACTCTAACAAACATCCATGTACCCAAACTTTTGCACTTCTGATATTAGTAACATATAAGATATGAATTGTATTTCAGATAGTAGAGCTAGAGGAAGAGGTTATAATCCCGGTGGAGCGCGCGGACAAGCGGTACTTCGCTTTGGGGCGGAGACACTCTGCGTCTCGCGGAGCTTCGGGTGCGGGTGCGGGCACGTTAGAGAAGCACGTGCCGCACGCTGCCGCCGTCGAGCCGCGCGGACTCATCTCCGACGTAGTGATGCAGGACGCCGCCCTGCATATATACATGCGAAGCATCGTACAAGTTAGTTATTTCATTTAAATAAATAAAATAAAACACAATTTATTGGCCAAGGAAAATAAAAAAAGCAAAACACAAAAAATAGCAATAAAACAAGATTTACAGAATTTATAAAAAAAATATTATAGTTTTCGGCCAAAAGAAGGCTCAGCTGATACGGCCTCCAGCTTGAACCTAAAGGCCGCGCTGGTTTTAGTCTCTCTTTAACTTCTATTGCATGGTTCAATTAATTAAACTGATTCCGCTTTTCGCATTGATATTAAAGTTTGTTACAGTTGTTTATGTAGGATAGTGGTCGTGGGCCTGGTTACTCTATAGCCTAGGCTCTAGACCCGTCTTGGAAAAGCCAAGTTTGTTCCGTGTTAGTGCTAGTTATTTAGAACATGTAGTAATGTAAATCTAAAGTAATTTTCAATTAAGATTGGTTGTATGTGAATTCAAATGTGACTTTGTGTATATGTGAAAAAGAGTTAAGTTACATTTAATACTGCGTGTATGAAATAGTAAATAATGTCGTGTTGCAGGTAATAAACAGTTTGTCAGTGAACGTGTCGGTGTACTACATGACGCTGAGCGGCAACGAGGTGCGGCTGCTGGGCGAGGTGAAGCCGGCCGGCGTGCTGCGCCTGCCGCTGCAGGCCGTGCACACGCCCACCGCTGAATTATTCTTCTCCGTTGAAGGTAACATATAGCATTACACACATCCTAGCATATCTTATTTTATAAGAATCTCCCATACGCCATGCTAATTTATCTATAACTTTGTATAAATTTCAGGTTTCACAGTATCAGTATCGCCATTCATTTGGCGCGAATTGCAGAACGAAGTGACTATAACAAAACTATTGCAATGTGACTCAAAGGATAAGACTAGCGGGGAAAAGTTCTATCTTAAGGTAAGTCAGCGATTTGTTTTATTACGATAACAATGGGCGTTCAGATTTGTAATAGTTGGTAGCGTCACTAATGAAATGTATCGTGATATTCCAGGCTGTAGGCAGTATGGAGCAGGTATTCTTCGAGCACTCCAACCGGCACACGTTCGCGTCCTCGTGCTACGAGGTGGTGCTGAAGCCGGCTGTGAAGCTGCAGAACTGCCTGCCGGTGGACATCATCGTGTCGCAGCTCGGCCTCAAGCGCACGCAAGTCTTCAAGCCCGGGGAGATGTTCCATCTGTCACATCTAGCGCCCAACAGAGCCTCCATTGTTGTTATGGTGAGATACTAAAGATGAAAATCTTAATAAAAAATGACTATTGTATCCATATAACATTTTAATTACACAGCAAACCAGTACAAATTGGGCCCGTCAAGTAAATAGCGTACCATTTCTCGAAAGGTCGACAACGCACCTGTAGTTTCTCTAATATTGTGGATGTCCATGAGCGTCATCGATCACATTAGTGTTTGCCCCTCTTTAATACAACGATACTTTTTTAGATACAAAGCTATTTAGACAAATGCTGGGTATGCACCAAGAATTTGCCCGACGAGGAGACGGAGCTATCCGTGTGGTCTTTCGAGTCTCACGACAGTCCGGCTGTGATGACCCTGGACCTGGGAGTGCACAGCAGTGACTCGGAGGGCACGCAGGTCCTCTCCCTCTACTGCCCCTTCTGGATGCTCAACAAGACCGGCTTCACGCTCTGCTACAGGGTCAGTACACAAGTAGTATACAGTACACATTACCCAATTAGTATACAATACACATTACACACTTGGTACACAGTACACATTACATATAATTTTAACAAGATATAAGGGCATTTAATAAGCATTGATATTATCGAATGTTTATGTCAGTTTACCGTCAACGGAAAGTGCATGCTTGTTTTGTTGCAAGTAACTTTATAGGACAGGTTTATACTGAGCAACATTGGATTATACGGATTGTTGTTTTATGTTTTATGTAAAATACCGTTAACAAGAAGAGGGAGAAAAGATGTTTTGTCACATGATACAAATTAACCAAAAAGAGATAGGTTATCTTTATTAAGGCTTTTTATTGTTTCGTTAAATTTCCTTGTGTATCGTGAATCCTTTATTTACCTATTTATATCCTATCCACTTGTAGCATCAAAATTGTACTAATTCTACCATTAGTCCATTGTAAACGTCCATACAAAGTAGTGTGATGTAACTTTAACAAGTAGTTTGTACCTTCAATTGGCTATATAAGATTAAATGGTTACAGAAATCAAAGAAACCAGAAAAAGACTCCAGCTCACCCAATAAGGTATCTTTGAGATGCTTGTAGTATTCCGACTGTATTTTCTTTTAATTTCGCCGGTTCATTTTATTTCGATTAATGCTAATTAACAATTACTATTTTTAATTTACGCTTAAGTTTTTTTTGGTTTCGAATAGTATTGTAAATACGCCATCTTTTGCTTTGCATTAACAAGCATTGCCTCAAGGTATGTACTATAGAGCTGAAAACATTTTGTTAATATTAATTATAGAAATATTTTATCCTTGAGATAGGAGTTTATATTTACTTGTATTATATACTTCGCATGTAAATGTATTTAAGTAAGTGTAGGTATTATGTAGGCGACGCACTCATTAGACGGCGCTGTAATGTTTAGTTTTTCGACAGATTGCAAATTCACGTTGCTGTGATTTAGTTAAACGTCACTCGTCGTGCTCGGTGAGTGCAGGCCATTATAGATTGTATCGCACTATTGTAAACACCATTTTATGTAAATACGGTATTATTAGTATTTATGTACAAGTAGCTATATACTGGATAGTTGATATCGCTCTGAGCACGTTTCATCCACTTAAAATTTCCAATAAAGAGTCAGTTCTACCAAATTCTTTTAAAATGAGTGATAACAATCCAAAACATGTGATGGAAATATCGAATTTTGATAGTTTATCAGACAGTGACGTCATTTTACGCTATCTGAACCTCTATCAGACAGTTGTGGGACAAGCCCAAAATGTTTTCTTCGTCATATTATAAAGAATGTGAAAATATAACAGAGCACAATGTATATTAAAAACTTATATCAATCATTGACACACCTTTCCTTTTTTCCATACTTTGGTGTTAAAACGCATCCCACCGCGCTCTACTCTACATACGTAACCAATCTGTACGATATTATGTGCAATATAACTAAATTTATTTCTCCAAAATATTCTCCAGTGCCTGTAGACAATTATTCCATAAGTTAGTTCCAAGTGTATAGTTTACAAGATTAGAAAAGCATGTTGCATGTTACATATAAAACTTACTGCATGAAAAGCAAATTAACTCTGGTTTAATGTTTAAAATGGGTATTGGAAATTATAAGAAAATGATTTAACTGATTACTAAGTTAATAATTACCATAAGTGTATTGTGTGATTTATTTTTATAGAATGCTGATGAAATGGGCAATGTAATCTTCCATCCGAAAGATTACAAGGAGCCGATACTATTTTCGTTCCGCGCTAAGAACTTCTTCGGCAAGAAGAAGGCGGCGATCAGAGTGGAGTTCGGGGAGTGGTCGGACAAGTTCTCTCTGGACGTGCCCGGCAGCTCCGGAGTTGTAGTGTGTAGGAATGAGGGCAGGACTTACCAGGTGAGTTACATTACTTGTAATTATTGTACAGATACATTCTATTTCAATAAAGAACTTAGAAACATGAGATAGTCTAAAAATTGTAAAAAGAAAGAACGAAAGATTTGTATATTTGTACGTATTGAAATAACTCAAAAATTATTGCACAGTTTCAAAATTCTTTCACCATTAAAAACTATGTGATCAATGAGTAACATAGGCTATACTTTTTATTGTTTTTAATTTCACGCGCGCGAAGTCGCGACCAACAGCTAGTTAAAATATATTAATATCTATGTAAGAAACAAAATAACTGTGTTTATATTGCGTTATTATTTTCATCCAGGTGGCAGTTACGAACCAGTTGACTTTCAACAGTTTAACGAAGATGGTGATATTCACACCGTTCTTCCTCATCATAAACGAGGCGCCCTTCGCTATACAGTACCAGGAGCTGCACAGATCCGGCGATCCTTGGAGAGAGGTATTTTATTTGTATTTACCAATAACAAACGAATCTTGTGTTTTTTTTTCTTGACTTTCACACTTAAGTGTATTTATCCACTTATCTTATGTTTCTGGTAAACGTATTTTCCAGGATATCTATATCGGATATGAAAGTGTAAATATTCAAAGACATTTAAGTAATACATAGACTAGGCATAGTAAACTTTTCACTGGTAATTTCTCTGACAGGTAACATATAAGTTGTACGCAATGCCGCATGCTTCTATTGTGATTTAATAAAATTAAATTAAGCTCCATCTTTTGTTATAAAAGGAACTAAACAGTCTTGCAAAATAAAATATAAACATTTAAATATTATTTAAGGTTTATATAAGGACAATTAATTTAAATACAATTAACAGATAGCGTTAGTGATTATGTGAAAAAAATCTCAAGTGTATGTACAATTATGCCTTCTCTATATATTTTTTTATATCTCTGTACAAAGTGTAACTAATGTTGTTATTGTTAGGTGGCAGAAAAGTCGAGTTCAGCTCTGTGGCCGGTGGTGGAGCGCGAGGACAAGCTGCTGCTGCTGCGCGTGGCGGGCTCCGCGGAGCACGCCGCGCCCTTCCTCTACACCGAGCAGCACACCGTCTGCCTCAAGCTTAACAACGAGGTATACATATGTAACTTACTTAAACAGTCCCTTAGTATAGATAGCCTTTAGTGGCCAAACAACTTTGAATTTAAATCTGATGTCGCAATCTATACATCAAATGCAGAAAGGTAGTGTTAAATAAAAAACCAATACCATTTAAGCAAAAATCTTAATACATTTGCAATATAACAAAAAATACATACATCCATTTTCTCCGTTGCTTCTCCACCTTTTTTATTTTTTACTTTATTGAAATGTCCATTCAGTCAGTAACATGTATTGTAAAATTTTTAATAACAAATTATTTTATCATTGTTTTTTAATATATATTTGTATTTAATATAAATTCAGTTTGATATTTTTAATTAACAAAATTGTTTTATAACAATATTTAGCGACATCTGTTGGTCGATTACTACTGACTTCACACTTTTGGGTCGACTCGAAATATTAGTGCAAATTTACTGGATATTATTTAGTTAACGGTGAAATATTTAATGTGTGTGTAGTACGGCGGTCTGCACGTGGAGGTGCAGCTGAGCGAGGGCGGCACGTACGTGACGGTGCGCCAGTACCGCGACGGACACGCGCCCGCGCTCCTCGTCAACTTCTCCCCCCACCCCATAGTCGTCTACGAGCGGGAGAACGTCAACGTCAAGTGAGTGCTCGCGTGACCTGTGACGTCATCAACTCACGACTCTTAACACATTCACAGCCATTTAAGAAATATATAGACAATGTTTGTTCACCGGTAACTTTTTTGAAAGGTACTATGTTAGTTCTTAAGTTTAGTACGTCACATCATGACCTTGTATTGACATAAACATATTATGAAATAAACTAAACAGTGTCACAAAATAAAATGTGAACATTCAAATATGATTTCTTTATACAATTTATTTAATTCTATTGGCATGAGGATAGTACACAATTTAACCAGTATTTGTTTATTGTGTTGTTTATGTAAGGATATTGTTTAAATAATTTCAATTTTATTGATGTTTTAGAAAAATACCGCCGATGCATCGCATGCTGTTCACGTGGGATAATCCAGCGGGACCTCGCATTCTAGTATTCGAAGGCCATAAGAAGAGTGAAATATACAATGATCTAAGAAAGGACGGCATTGGAGAATTTATGTGAGTATAAATTTTATAGATATGTCTGAAATCAAAAATTTTTAAAAAACATACAGACGAATTGGGTACCTCCTTTTGGTTATTAATGCTCTCTGGAGGTGTTTTGGCATGCTTAAGGCTATAGTTATACATCCAAGTACTGTACTCTAGAATTGTAGTCTATGAACTTGAAAGTCGATTGTTAAGATTTTCGTCGCCGTCGCCTACAAAATAGTAATAATTAATCCAGGATAAACGAGACGGAGCGCATGTCGTGGGTGTCGTTCCTGGACGGGCTGCAGCGCGTGGTGCTGGTGACGGGCGACGCGCTGCTGGCGGCGGGCGCGCACACGCTGGGCGAGGCGGAGCCGCTGCGCACCGAGCTGGTGCTGGCCATGCACGGCCTCGGCCTCTCCCTCGTCAACGACACCGAGGCCCTCGAGATCGTATACGTCAGCATATCCAAGTTGGTACAACACACTGCTCATGGGACCCCTCTTACACAAGGATACGCTAATCTCACATATCAGCGACGCGTGTCTTTTTACGAACTTCTATAAGATTGCCCAAGTTGCTTAGAAATCGCAGATCTGCTTAGCCTTTTGAAAAAAAGGCTTTAATAGTATCTCAGTATGCTAATGTATTTCGTGTGGGAAAACAACGAATCGACCTGCTGACTATTTAACGACTCTGAGTGTGAGTAAAAAAGTGCCTTATTTGTTTCATAGTTCTGGAATAATATG